AAAGAGAGAGAATGAGAGAGAGTGGGAGGGAGAAAATGAGAGAATAGAGAGAGGAGAAAGACGAGAGAGGGAGAAAGAGAGAGAATGAGAGGGGGGAGGGAGTTAATAGGAGAATGAGAGAAAGAGAGGAGAGGAGAGAATGAGAGAGAATTAGAGAAAGGGAACGAGAGGGAGGGAGAAAATGAGAGAATAGAGAGAGGAGAAAGACGAGAGAGGGAGAAAGAAAGAAGGGGAGAGAGAGAATGAGAAAGAGAGAGAGAAAGAGGGGGGATGGGGAAGAGAGAATAGGAGAATGAGAGAAAGAGAAGAGAGGAGAGAATGAGAGAGAATTAGAGAAAGGGAACGAGAGGGAGGGAGAAAATGAGAGAATAGAGAGAGGAGAGAGAGAAAGAGATAGAAAGAAAGGGAGAGAGAGAAAGGGGAGAGAGAGAGAGTGAGAAAGAGAGAGAATGAGAGGGGGGAGGGAGTTAATAGGAGAATGAGAGAAAGAGAGAGAGAATGAGGGAAAGAGTGAGAGAGAGAGAATGAGAGAGGGAGGGAGAGTGAGGAAGAATGAGAGAGAGGGGAGAGAGAATGAGAAAGAGAGAGAGAACGAGAGAAGGGGGCTGGGGAAGAGAGAATAGGAGAATGAGAGAAAGAGAGAGAGGAGAGAATGAGAAAGAATGAGAAAAAGAGAAAGAGAGGGAGGGAGAAAATGAGAGAATAGAGAGAGGAGAGAGAGAGAAAGAGAGAGAAAGAAAGAGGGAGAGAGAAAGAAAGGGGAGAGAGAGTGAGAAAGAGAGAGAATGAGAGGGGGGAGGGAGGGAGAGAGTGAATAGGAGAATGAGAAAGAGAGAGAGAATGAGAGAAAGAGAGAGAGAGAATGAGAGAGAGGGAGGGAGAGCGAGAAAGAATGAGAGAGATGGGAGAGAGAATGAGAAAGAGAGTGAACAAGAGAAGGGGGATGGGGGAAGAGAGAATAGGAGAATGAGAGAAAGAGAGAGAGGAGAGAATGAGAAAGAATGAGAAAAAGAGAATGAGAGAAAGAGAGAAACTTTGTTAAAAAGGGGGGGGCATTACTATTGGGGTGGCCCCGGGCTGTCCTTCGTGGCTTGAATGACAGCCTCAGGCTCCTCCCCTTGGCCAGCTCACAGCCATTTGGGCCTACCTGTGTTTCCTAGATATCGTGGACGGGAATCTGAAATGCATCATGAGGTTGGTCCTTGCGCTGGCCGCTCACTTTAAGCCCGGATCCGGCAAAATCGCTTCGGCAAAACCCGTGGAGGAGATCCAGGGGGGAAGCGGAATCTTGCTGGCCCATCCCAGGCCTCGCTCGGCCGTGGCCGTGGCCCAGGAGGCGGTCGCTGCCCTGGCAGAGGTTCGCCAAGATGTCTCGGGAGTGGGCCGCGGTGCCTTCCAGCCCCACCCCAGGTAGGTCATCTCTCTGGGACGGCAGCAAAAACTGCGCTTTGATATTTACAAGTGAATATCTTAGGGAGCGTCTGAAGTTACGTTGGCATTGAAAAAAGTGAACGATGCCCAGTTCCCCCATCCCTACAGCAGTTGCACCATCAAAGTTTGGATGCTAAACAGCTACTTGGGATCATTTTAGCATCCGGGCCTTCATCCATAGGAGCCACAGTGGCACAGTGGTTAGAGCGCAGTACTGCAGGCTACTTCTGCTGACTGCCGGCTGCCTGCAATTTGGCAGTTCGAATCTCGCCAGGCTCAAGGTTGGCTCAGCCTTCCCTCCTTCTGAGGTGGGTAAAAGGAGGACCCAGATTGTTGGGGACAATAGGCTGACTCTGTAAACCGCTTAGAGAGGGCTGTGAAGTACTGTGAAGTG